CAGCGAGAAACTTGGAGACGATGTTGATTAAACTAATTCTTCTGTGGTATTCACAAGAGGATCTTTCGCCGTTTTTGTTCATCGACATGATCGGTGATTCACATAATTCAGTTGAAACCTCCTCCTACGCTGAGTCCATTAGTTTTGCCAACTCCAAGACTGCCGCTGAACCTCCATCATCAAAAGCCGGCAGGAACAGGCCATCCGGCTAGTGGTCGTATACATTTTCAGATGACTTATTTCCATTTAACATGGAGCATTGACATCGACTGGCGGCATCCGCCCAGTTGAAGCAGGAATCAGGATGTCTACACCACTTCATCTTCAAGTGAATCCAGTCAATCGCATTCCACCGGGAACCCCACAAGATGATTGGTGTTTCGGCCGTCCAACGTCACCGATTGCACCGGGTCTGTCTAAACCCCGTCCAGTCTGAATGAACTTCTCCGTAAACAATCAGAGGTACTTTTTTGGTGAGTTATCGAGCGATGATGAAAGTTTCGGTGGAGTAGAGTGGGTCATTATTTCAACCCCCCCCCCCCCACACACACACACACTCTGGAACGGCTCCAGACATTATCATGATCATGAATTTTCTTGGGAGTTTGGTACGAGACGTCCCCAGCGTCACTCGGCGTTTTTTTATTTTGAGGGTGCACCTCTAGCCTTGGTTGTGTACAACCAAGTTCGAGCTGCAAGGCAGCAGGGAGTAATCCCTCGCCTGGGAAGTAAGGGGTCAATGACAAGTTTTTAAAGGCCAGTCATATCGACCTTTGTCACGACACCGTCATTGGACTTATGCGGCTCTAAAACGGGAGCCAGGTGACCAGCCTGAAACCCACCACACCCTGGTAATGCCGCCGCTGTTTGTTAGCGACTGCTTATTTGTCGCGGTATGCCACAATTTATTCACGGCTAACCTTCTGTGAGGGTATCTTTCTCTCCACAACCCGGGGACGCGCCTGATAGCATTCAGCTCTGCTTAACCTGAGGGTATCCAGTAAAAATAACCATAGTGTGATTTCATTCCCACATTGTCTGGCATCCGAAGTGTGTGAAATGCATACACACACACATACGGAGGACCATTGACTTAGACAATAGCACTCGTTCACCCACTAAGGATTAACTGCCCCACGTCGCAACAACAAATACAGGCCTCACTCAACTTCTACAAGACTTAGAATGCGGTCGAGCGGTTTGATGAGGTGTGGATACCAGTGTATGACTCAGCTCAGAGCCGCTGTTAAGTCAGCTAGAAGATCAAAATGTGGAATACATCCTAAGGCATGACAGTCAATCAGCCAAAAGAAGCTTGTATTATCAAATAACCCTTTCGGGCGCCCAGACCTGACACACCATCATCCGCGATGTTTCTTACAAATCTGCCCTGAAATTATCCCAATTGAATGCACCGTTCTGCTTTCCAGGCCGTCGATGTTACCATTTTACTCATCCGAAAGCCTCAGTATGGTCGGAGGTGGGTGTCTCGGGTTGTGGTTGATCACATCATCACCATCATCATCGTACAGCTAAATACAGTGAGGCGAACTTCACTGATCGCTGCCAAACTCACAATGTATACAAGGTTAGCGGTAAAATTCAAGGTGGACAGGGATTGGACCTACTTTGAGGGAGGTGAACCTCTTTGGTTAGCACACAGAACACCCTGATAAGAAATGACAAGGACGCCACTGTTGTCAGTTCGCTATCATATCCATCAATGTGTCCAACTAACCAGTTGTGGAGTCTTTCGGACCCCAACCTGGAAGGTAAGAGACACTTACTCCACCCAATAGCTATGAGCATTTTTTCATGCCTGGTCTCCACGTCATCTGTTGACCTCCATGTGGTTTCCTTCAGCCCGGAGCGGCTAAAGGGAATAAGGCGCGACGTGATAGACGATAGTTGGGCATATGCAATACGTGCCCTAGCCAGCGAAGTCTGCTAATCTGAATTCGATGTGCTAGTGGGTTTATACCTGATACACTCCTAAACACACGACAGCTTACCTCCACATTAATAACCTGTTCGCTCCATCCAACATGGGCTAAACTGTGTAAACACCGATAATCGAAAACTTCTAGTCGATGGATATCTTCTACTCGCAAATTCAGGGTCTCACAACTATAAAGCAGGACTGAACGAACGCTAGCACAATACACACGAACTTTCAACTTCAGTGAAACGTCGCGTCTACGCCAAAGGTGTTTCAGTCCTGTATATGCTGTTCGAGCCATAGAAAGGCGAACGGCTATTTCCTTTGCTGCGCTTCCGTCACTGGTCACGCAAATACCGAAGTACGAAAAGTAATAGGCCGTAATTGATTTCTGGCCATTTAGTTTCAGAGCGAAAGTAGACGAAACCCAGTAGTGCAGCATCATTGCACATTGAAGCTGGAACGCTGTTTTCCGACCCGCGTGTTAAAAGTCACCTGCAAGTACAACTGTAGTAGACTCGATTCATCCGAATGAGATCGGTGAGTTCGTCGTAGAAAGCGTCCTTTTGTGCATCAGAATCGCAATTGGTCGGTGCGTATGCCGATTTGATGAACAAACACCTTTTGGTCCTGCTTCCCTTCCGAATGCTGAACGAACACTAGAGACGCAGATCAAATAAACGACTATTGACGGGGGTACAATCATTAAGAGAGGAGTCAGGCCTCTCATTGAGTACAATACCTACCCCGTGCTGATCTACTGAACGGACTTTGTCGTCGCCTGATGTGCAAAGAACGTACCTCGAAGACAAATCTGGTGCGCCCAAGTGGCTTATAGTAGTAGGATTCTGAATTAGTCTCCGACACGCAGCAAATATCGATCCACACGGATTCTATTGCACGCGCCAGGCAAGCTTGTTGACCCACCTGCATCAGTCCTCACGCTGAATGCGCCCAGATTCAGTGATTGACGAGGATTTAGAATCTGTAGTCCATCTCGTGGTACATTACTTAGTGTTATTTGACGACTTTTGGCGAGCGACATTCAAGTTGCTTGAGAGACAGGTTGGAAGGAATGGGTACGGAAGACAGGGTTAGACAAAGGTTAGGATATTTGAGCACTAGCCCACCCCACTCGATGCAATGGGCAGAGCGGTCCTTATCCTGCGCGAAGACCGATGCAGTATGGAATTATTTTTAGTATGTGTCTGCATTGGGGCTTGATGGACTGTTACTTCTAGGGTGTCCAGCCACTAAGCAAGAGAACGACTAGGGTTCTGATCTTTAGTTCCGACAAGAACCTGACCGCAAGGCAGCGGGTGAAACGGAGTGGACCCATTTATTTGGATCGATTACTCTTCCACAATTTTTCACCGACTGAAACGCCAATCCAGTCGGACCCCCAACCATGACTGAACTTCCTCGGACCTCTACCCACTGACCTTCCAGGCATAATAAAATCTCCTGGCTTGACAAAAGCCATCTGGTGTAGGTCGATGGGTCAGAAATGTGCACAAACCATCACACCATGTCAAGGTGCAGTCTCGTCGTGCACCCCGCTAATTGCTCCAATACGACTAAGCGCCTAAAATAGGTTCTGCTGAAGAAGTCCGACGCGCTGCCTCTACGTGGCGGTGTTTGCCTACCAGTGTGAGGACGAAAAGCAGACATCCGGATCGGTGAACCACTGGCCGTTCACCTGGAGTTCGCTAAAAACCCAGATCTCAAACCAACTAACAGGCGTACGAGGAACACCTTGCTGATTTGACAGTTGCCATCGGTTAATGGGACATCAAGGTGGATTGAACGCCTTGGACGTCTGACCCTGTCGAAACGGCGTACGTTCCGTACACTCGCTCCCAATGGATAGCTGTATCCATGATCTACCCCGCCGCCTCTCGATTCAGACGTTGACCAGTCTAACTGTAGACTCCCTAGACAATACAGCCGTTGCGACCCGGGAAATCAAGCACGTTTACATGTGAATGTAAAGATAGATAGATATCATTATTTTCCACGAAGACTGAGATGTTTCAAGAGTCGATATATAACATCGGTTTGCTCCCCCGATTTCAACAGGCTGAGAGCAAACCGCTGAACAAAGACCTGGATGAATTGCAAGCCCCTCCCCTGGATGGTTTGGGTGCTGGTCTTACACCCTCGACACAAAAAGTCGCCATAAGACTGCGCTGGCTCAGTTCTGCGTTCCAGAGTAACAGGGAGAACAAAACTTTGTCATTTGATCGGCTATCCCAACGGCCGACTCATCAAAGTTTGGGCAGGAAAATAAAAAGCCCGACTGGTATTCGCTAACTCAAGACAACTGCGGCAAATTCCCATTATACATCCCCACCTTCCGTTGACCCCATCATTCAAATGTGCAGTTGACAGAGCAACCAAGATCGCCTCACGAAACTTTAGGCTTTTGGTTGCAAAAGCTGAAACCAAACCAAGCAAACCTGATTCTCACCCACGGCCATTTTGGATCGCACGGGAATCGAACCCATGGCGCATCCTGACGCCGAGTAGTCTTTGGATTTTTAGTCGGCCCCAATAAGTCGGAGTGCAGGTTATTTTGCAGCATACCAGGTGACTTCAGTGCAGAGGATCGGAAAAACAGAGATTCTCCTTCATGTATACGTGCGGTCGACAAACCAAATAGCGACTAAACGAAGCGTGAACTCTAATGTTACCAACATGACGTTAATCGGGATAGCTCAGGAGACTTTCACTGTTCGGACATGCAATAACGACAGAGTCCCTCATTTTCCGAACATCACTGGGAAACATACTATCCGTCCGCCTTGCGCGGACAAGCGTAAAACCTGATGACGCCTATCCCCGACTTTGAAATGATCAAGGATTCGTATGTAACCTGACACCTCTGGAACTGAGGAAATCCGGATAAAGGCAGGTGACCCGCAGTGGCTTGTACCCTAATAACGACAAGCACAGACCACCTACGATAACGATATCAAGGTGATCATGTATGTGATAATCGGTAGGTGAAAAAAGGCACGACTACAGGACCGAACATATATTTCACAAAACAAAACAGCGATTACTCCGATTTTACACCCTGCTTCACAGCAGCGGTCTTACACTTCTTGTTGTGCTTCTTGGCAAATCGCATATTACGGAGAAACTTAGGGTCAACCTTCAGGGAACGTTAGGAGCATTTATGAAAACCCTTA